GCCCTGTCTCTCTTGTACATTGGTCCAAACTTATTCCTTCCTCCACACATTCGATCAGCCCTTACCGCTTCTAGCTTCATTCCAACACTTAGACATTTTTGAAATCCACAGTAAGGACGTTTTCTCTGTGTTTTGTCAATTTGGCAGTTCTGGTTTTCTATACATATGTACCTTTTATTATTTTGGACTGTTCGCTTAAAAATCCTTGCAACTCTCACAAGTGAGAAGCCTGCAATGGTACCCAGACACTTTATCTCCACACACAGGACAAAGCTCTTGGAGATCTTCATCAGAGGAGTAATTCACCATTTTAAATTGAGACACTTGCATGTTTTCCAGCATCTGCCCCTGTTCCCCATGCAATCAAGCCAGTCCCAGGGCTTCCATCTCTGCTTTGAGCAGCATGACAAGGCAGCCGAGGGCCGGAATGGGGAGTCAGTATCAGTCCTGAAGCCCAGCAACCTCCCTCTCCTGCCTGGTTGACTTCTCTCGTGTATCAGAGAGCAGCCCCTTCCAGCCCCAAGGGTGACGGTGCTGGGAAGGAGGGAGAAAAATCTTTACCACACATACCTCAGATGAGCACTGATCTCCAGGATATATAAAGAACTCAAAACAAATTTTAAAAAAAATCAATAAATGGGCTAAGGGACTGAACACTTTACAGAAAAAGAATTATAATTGATCAACAAATATATGAAAACATTTTCATCATCTCTAGAAATTAGAGAAATGCAAATCAAAACTACTCTAAGATTTCATCTCACTCCAGTCAGAATAGCCATTATCAAGAATACAAGCAATAACAAGTGTTGGCAAGCACGTGGGGAAAATGGTACACTCATGCATTCTTGGTGGGATTACAAATTGGTGCAGCCACTATGGAAAGCAGTATGGAGATATCTCAGAAAACTTGGAATGAATCCACTATGAGACCCAGCTCTCCCTTGGTTTATACACAAAAGAACGAAAAGCAGCATATGACAGCGATGTGACAGCAATGCAGCCCTCCTGCAGCTGCTCAGTAACAGCTGCTCAATTTACAATAGCTAAACTATGGAACCAATCTAGGTGCCCTTCAACAGATGAATGGATAAAGAATCTGTAGTACATAAACACAATGAAATATTACTCAGCCATAAAAAAAGAACAAAATTGTGGCATTTACCAGTATTGGATGGAACTGGAAGTTATCATGGTAAAAGAAATAAGCTAATCTCAAAAAATCAAAGGCCAAATATTTTCTTTGATATGCAGATGCTAATTTCACAAACAAAGTGGGTGGGGACAGCTATGGTCAAGGAAGAATATAAGTTCTTCAGATTAGAAAAGGGGGAATGATGTGAAAGAAGTGGGAAGCAAATAGGAAAGATGGTAGAAGGAATCAGACTTTACTAGACTGCCATCCCCGACCAGCAAGGGTGACTAAACTAAAGGTCGCTAGAGTGAAATTCCTAGGATACCAAATAAAACACAGACTCACACTTTACCTTTAATTCAAGCTTCATTCAGGACAGCTCCTCAACTCTCAGCCTCAAGCCCCCCAAACGGGAAAGTGAGGAATGTCATGAGAGACTGGCGAGAGAGAGCTGGCACATTTGGAAGTGAATTTTTATTGGGGGGACCCTCATTTTTTCGAAATGCCATCCAAAAAAGGTCTAGATAGGCAGGGTTTACAAGGACAGGTAAGGTAATTCGAACCCTGGGGCTGTAAGAGGCCACGCCTATGCATGAAGACACATTCTGCTACTTCCAAGATCGGGGCAGCCATCTGGGGCCACTTTGAATGTGCCCAGATCACTACAGTAGTGACCAACAGAGCCTCTACCAATCAGGGAAGGAAAATGCTGGTTACTCAGCGCAATGGCCCCCCACACTAGACAGTGCTCATATATGATTACGTGACTAATGTAATTCTACATCATGTATAACAAGAAGAATGAGAAGTTATGCTCCATACATGTATGTCAAAATACATTCTACTGTCATGTGTAACTAATTAGAACAAATTTTAAAAACAAGAGTAACAAGTATAAATGCCAGTATACAGATTCACACTGAAGGAGTCACACACATCCAGTTGGACTGCTCAGAAACATAATCCCCGTCATTACTGCACCCCTACCATACAGAACAACATGAATCAGGGAGGCTCCTGGGGCCTGGGAAAATGGAAACATGGCTCTAATATTCAGGCCATTATGGTTACTATTCCCATCCATGTCCCCAGTGCCACCTGGGAATGTCTTTGGTGGGAAGTTCCTTCTTGGATATGGTGTGTAACTTTTTGTTAAATAAAGGTATGCCTATGTGGGGCTAACCCCACAGCCCTGGATCAGGGTCTGTCCATTAATATGGGTCACTGGAAGTTCAGCACAAGTTCTAGCTCTAGACTAATGCCCCCTTGTCCCAAACACACACCACACTACACTCTTTTTAGACATGGAGTAAAATATCTCTCTTCAGTTATGTAACTCTCAAAAGTATGCCCTTTTCCATCCCATTGTGTACAAATCATGCTGCCACACAATCACATAATGATCTTCTATAAGGAAAGAGCAATGAATGTCACACAAACTCATATTTGGGGCTGAAAAAAAATTCCTGCATCTAAGACATGCTAGGACCAGGCTCCTGCACTGGAAAAACAAAAAGGAAAACACAGAAGGAAAAGTAAATAAAAAATAGTATTTAGAAAAGCGACTTGGTCATATGCCTACATATCCAATTTAGGAGTTATATCTACATTGAGGAAATGGTTCTGTGGTTTCAATAACTTTGAAAACCATTGTTGTAAGCCTTCATCCTCCTCAGGGAGAGGAAGAAGAAAGGAATGTCCAAGGGTAATGACTGACCAAAGTTGTCACAAAAGGTGGGATAGACCTGGACCAAGCCCAGGTGCCCTCACCACCATGGCAGAAAGGGACCTTAAGTGTCTTCTAACGCCCAGCCTGGGGTGGCTTCCCAGCATCTCTAGGCATGAGATGAGTTGCTTTCTGCTCAGAAACCTCCCTAGAGAGAAAGTCTCTGCGCCCTCCTGCAGCTGCTCAGTAACAGGATTTCACAGCACCTTCCTCTAGTAGTAGAAACCACCCAGAGGCATAAGTGAGTGGAATCCGAGGCAGATTAGAACCTTAAACTGGCTGATTCCTTCCCCTCTCCTTAGTCTGAGAAAGAATCCCAATCCTCTCCATTTGAGGAGAACACCTTCCATTGTCTCACACATTATATCCAAAATATGGAACAGCTATTGAAAACAATTGAGCAACAAATGTAGCAATTATGGTAACTTTGAAATGGATTTTATGTTTTTACAAGTCTATTCTTTCATGAAAAGTCACAAGTAAATGCTTAGGGCATTCTAATACACACATATAAATGCACATGCACACATAGAGAGCATATATAAGCTCTAGATTATTATTTACAACCTATTTTAATATACCCATGATGCGTTCATTGAAATAGTCACAGAACTGAAAACTTGGGACTCAATGGGTTAAACTCTAAGATAGGAAATGCTTCCCCACTTCCCCATTCCTCCTTTCCTCCAGGCCCACTGGAAGTCAAATCCCAGCACAGCCAAGGAAAGATGTGCAACTTGGTCCCAGTAGCACACAGATCCAATGGAATACAAGGTCTGCTCATGTGTTTGGGGATTGTGTGTTGGTATAATTCTGTTTCCCAGCCCAACGCCATACTGCTGCCAGCACCAGTCTTGACTCAGCTACAGAACTTACAGGACTTCTTTGGTGTACTGTCTTTCATCCAACACTACTTTTTACCAACAAACATATTTCACCATAAGAGAAGTACAGAAGTAGGTTCATGTGCCATATCACCCAGAAGCAGCTAGACTGAGAAAATTGTGAAAGAGTCCATGGAAGATAACAAGGACAGATGACACCAGACCACCACCTGTGAGATTGGGATGCTGTACTCTGGGAGGTAGTGTATGCTTTAAGCCAGCAGTAAAGATATGCTTGTGTTTCCCCACAGCTAGAATACATGGTTCCAAAAACAAAGGGGTGCTGGTAAGAGTTGCCCCTTTGACTCTCACATGTAATGGCTCACACTCAAGCAATTTTGCGTCTATCTCCACAATCTTGGTCTTTGTGGACCTAGAGGTCTTAATCTCTGAGAAATAAGTGGATTCCTATGGTACCTGGGTGATTGGGACTGACTTCCAGGAGAAAGGGATTCAAAATAAGTGAGGTCAGAAAAGATGAATAAAGCACAAGGATGGAAAACCACTGAGACTCTTCAGCAATTAGGGTCAAAATCACTGCATCAGGTGAAGAATCCTACCAGGGAGGATATCTGAGGTAAGAGTCTTCTGAACAGCTTCTTAGAAATCACATAAGACCCCTTCTCATAATGGCTTTCCAGCCTTCATGGCCATGGACCCTAAAACTTCTTCTTAGAGAACTCCCAAGAGAGGAAAAATTCTTAAAATTACCAGGCTCCCTGCTGTCACAATCCAGCTGAGACCAACCTATTGCTGGCTTTCACCCTGTCATTGTGGTTTTGAACCACTGAGCTCTTGGGCAACTGAGGCACACCATCTTCAGCATTGCTCGCACCCCACTCTGCCCATCCCTCTAACCACAGCCTCTCCATCTTCTCTATTTACTAACGTTTTTGTATCCTCTGCCATAGCCAAAGAGGCTCATCTCCATTTATCCAACTCTTACACAGGAAAGGGTTTCAACAAATGATCATCCTGAAGGTCAATGAAAGCCCAAGAAATAAATACTTTCCTGGATCTATCACAATGACGTGCAGATTCCTGAGTCCCAGGACCCACTATGGCCAATGTAACACTTCTAGCAACCCTAACTTCTGACCACAGGTTCCAGTTTTTTGCTTTTGTGGTCAGCACTGAATCAAGAGTGATGGGTGGTTAGGCTTGGCCAAATTATTACTCAACCATCAGATCTTGATCAGACAGTGATGGAAGGGTGAGATCATCTCAGAGGAAAAAGCCCCCACCACACCAGAAGAGAACACTGGGAGTTTAAAGACCAGGAGGACGCACCAACCTCTTTGAACAGAGAGGCCTTCCTGGGAAGATGAAGCCACTCCTGCTCCTGTTGGTCTTTCTTCTGTGCCCAAGGGCAGAGGCAGGTGAGTGACTATCCCTAAGAACTGAGGCCCAACCCCAAGCTCAGCCCTGCTCAGATGCTGCACCCCACCGTCCCGGCTCAGGTGCACCTCCAGCAAATTTCTGCATAGTAAGGTAAACCTCACCCAAAGACTAGCAGGTCTCATGGGGATGGGAGCACAGGGGAGGAGCAGGGCAGAAGGCTGGTCTCCATGAGAGCCACTGGGAACCTTCCACTTCCCCAGCCCTACCTTTACCATCTGGAAAGCAGGTCCGTTCACGAACACATGACAGTACAATTACCAACAGGAAAGAATAAATAACTAATTCCCCAAGAAAGGGAAATTTATAGAAAGGGGCTGGCTTCTGTAATCAAGGTAAAGCCCATTAATTTTTTAACCAAATATTTTAATATCTACCCTCAATATCCACCTGCTTATCCAAACTTTATCATTCTCACACTGCACAGGAATGCAGCCAAGGACCCATTTGATCTCAGAGTCATGGGCATTCTCATCCCTTAACACTTACATGTGCCTTGGTTCAGCCCCGTGTTCTCTCAGGTCATTTTCAGTTACAGATGGGTACAATGACTTTGTCAGACCCCATCTTCCCTGGTGCTCACAATCTCACCAGCACTGCCCCTCCAAACCTCAGCCACAGGATTCTCAGGAGCCATTCCCTCACATAGCCAAGACCTTTACTGGGCACCTACTTGGTGTCTGGCTCCAGCAGACAAACATCAAACACAACTCAACATTCTGACTTTATGCGCATTACCCAGTAGGAGCTCAGTGGGACCTAAGGGGGAAACAAGAGGGGAAAGAAGACTGGGACAATTCAGAGAAAGGACTGACCAGGATCTGTAGGGACTTTGCTACTTGTTCCAAACTTAAATCCTGTCAGTCAACATTGATGGCTGAAGCAGGAATTACAGAGCTAGGACTACCCTGCTGTTCATCAGAGGGAGTATCTGAGTCTTTGGGTCACTCTTCAAGCCAGGAATGCTGCCAGGTACACACTCAGGGACCCATGTTTGTTGCTGCTGGCTACTTAGACCCTGCCTCTAGGGCTTAAGAGCCAGGGTTACATGGCAAGCAAGGAGATCAGGGGCAGGGCCAGAAGAAGGGAGCATGGAGAGGGTCTTTGGTAAGGTCAACTTTCTGCTTGATGAAAGTGCTTGAGGACACAAGCCAGGCACCCAATCAGACACTTTATATTAATGCTCCTAAAGGAGGATCCAGTAGAAAAACTAAAACAGAAGCAAGGACAGAGAAGACACCAATCAATAATAGTGAGCAGAGGGTGAACAGTGGACATGATAAAGACAGGAGGAAATTCCAGAGACCATAAAAAGAACAAACCAAAACTCCCACACCAGATACCAGCACTGGGGCATTTCTCTTCAGAGCCATCTCTCTGTCCCTTTGTCCATAAACCTGCTGCTTGCTTCATATATCTGTGTCCTTTTCTTCAATTCTTTGATGAACAAGGACAATGAACCCCGCACCCCTAGATGGTAACACCACCACACTCAATCCTTCCCTCCCTGGAGTTGATCCCAGTCTCCTCTTCTTCAGCCTTTGGCTCCATGAGCACCAAGGGCAGGACAGAACCTTTCTTTCAGGGAAAATCATTGGGGGCCATGAAGCCGTGCCTCATTCTCATCCCTACATGGCATTTCTTTGGATCAAGACTCCAACTAAAACAAAACGATGTGGGGGTTTCCTTGTACGTGAGGACTTTGTCATGACAGCAGCCCACTGCTGGAGAAGGTGAGTTCACACATCTAAAGAAAACCCCACAGGGAATCCTCTCCTTTGGGCCTGAAGACAAGACTCTGTGGAGGGCAGGTAAGCTATGGGGAGAGAGGAGCAGGTCAGTGCAAGTGGCTTGTTATACAAAAGGAGAATGTGGATCAAGGCTGGATGGAAGGACGCAGCTTTTTCCCAAGAGCCCAGAGTGCACATGTGAGAATTTCAGAGTCTCACCTGGAGACACCTGAGCTCTGTGCATGACTGAGCACACTCCATCTGCTCCAGGAACTGCACCAGCCCTGGCTGCCAGAGACACTCAGCCCAGAGTCCTGTTCCCCTACACGTCCTCCCAATTCCACCCTGCCCCGCCCTGAGTAACCATTTCCTTCAGGGATCCTGAGCTTTATCCCCTGTGACTCTACCTCCCTGTCTGCTCTAGGAGCAGATCCATCACTGTCATCCTGGGGGCCCACAACATCAAAGACAATGAGAGGACCCAGCAGATCATCCCTGTAAAAAAAGCCTTCCCCCACCCAGATTACAACAGCAACTATTTCAATGACATCATGTTACTGCAGGTGAGGAATGCCATTCCAATGGGTCTTGCACACTTCAATCCTGGAGGATTAAATCTGCTGTCCTTCTGTCCAACCATCCTTCCTAAAATGAAGGCTTCACTTGTCCCAGTGCCATGAAGAAGGCAATCCCATGACTGGAGTTTTGTGAGCTGTTGGTTGATCTGAATTCCCTTTATCTGCCTTTAGTTGAAAAAGAAGGCCAAGCTGACTGCTGAGGTGAGCCTCCTCAAGTTACCCTCAGAAAATTCCCAGGTTACACCAGGGATGGTGTGCACTCTGGCCGGTTGGGGACACATTGGCCAAAACATATCCACAACAAAACTGCATGAGGTACAGCTTGAAATCCAGAAAGACAAGGAATGTCTCTCTCGTTACACAAAACCATACAACTCCACCATCCAGATTTGTGTGGGGAACCCAAAAGAGAAGAAGAATTCTTTTCAGGTGAGTTCACCTGCTTTGGCTATTCCCTGCCTTGGGCACAGCAGAGTTTGAGGAGAAACAGGGCAAAGGGAAATACTCATGCCCCTGTTTCTCCTCAAATTGCCTTTCATCAATTCAGTCTCTGGTCCTGAGGGTCAGTGGAGACTAAATGCCCATTGGTCACTTCATAGACAGAGACTTACTGGAGAAAGAGAGGCATCAGTCAACTGGAGGGAATAGTCACGGTCAGGCTGGAGCCCCCCGGACTGAATGAGGGAACAAGGACTGCCCTGTTTGTGAATTCACAAACAACCCTCTAACAGTTCCAACCACCTATGGGGAGGGGATGGTGTGAGAATTGGAGCAAGCCAGCTCAGGGTTGATTTCTCTACCCACAGGGAGACTCTGGGGGTCCTCTAGTGTGTAAAAACGTGGCCCAGGGCATTGTGTCCTTTGGGAAAGAGAAAGGGACACCTCCAAGTATCTACACCAGGATCTCAAGCTTTCAGCGCTGGATTGAAAAAACAATGAAATCCTTCAAACTCCAGGGACAAGACTGAGAGGCCTCCTGAATTGATCTTCATCTTCTCTTGTACACAGGCCCAAAGTACACTGGGTAGAGGAGTAGAGGGGACACTTCCAGGTGCTTAATAAACTTTCATCTCTAGAACAGAAGTGCTAGATTCCTCCTTTCTTCACCAGCATAACATTTTGTAAGGTTCTGATTGCATGTCCAGCAGGATCTGTTTACATTTATGATTCCTTACAAGCTTCCCCTCAGGCACACTCCACCTTCCACCTCTAGAATATGAAACCATGCTTTGTTGATAGTAGCTCCAAATGACCTGTGCCAATGCCAGCTCCCTGTCACAGGTTGAGTTTAAGCTACCCGGGAATAAGGACCCTCTCTAGACAAAACTCATTCCTACAGTGCCATCTTACCTCATTCTGTACCTACACCCTGACTCCACCTTGATTCTGTGCTACTGTGAAAACATAAAAGACCCCAGATTTGTAAAGGGAATTATATTTCCCACCTAGTGGAAATGGGATATGTGGCTTTTGGAAAGGTGTGGTTCATGCAGGGCTCCCTCTCCAAATCAGCACAACTGGCAGCTTGGAAGCATGAAGACTTTCAGGAAGAATTTTCAGTGCCCTCAAATGCTTCTTAAGTGGCTGTCACGGCCCTGTCTTAGGGCCAGAGCCAGTGCAGTGTCTGTTCTCCCGTCAGCCCATCCTCCCACAACCCCAAATGATCTTCCATCTTAGTCTGAGCCAGCTTCTTTCCACCTCCCATGTCCAGGTTCCCTGGAAACCTGTGAGGATGGGAGCAAACTTTCTATCCTGTGTTCATCAAGATTCTCATCCTTGATGGATCTTGAGCCCTAGCTTATCTTATGCCCCATTCATGAAGGACCAGGAAGCAGGGAATGACCTCAAAACCCTAGTCCAGAGCTTTCACTTGGGTCAAGCCCACATCAGTCCTCCTCATGCAGAGTTTTGCTCCTGAGCTCAGAGCCCAACAAATACAGGTCACACTCAACAGCCTGAACTCTTGCAGGCTCTTCCATTTGGGCACCACTGACAGCCTGGCCTCTGGGACAGAATTCACTGATTGGTACCCTGGACCAAAATGCCCATCTATGTGAGACTGCCTGCCTCTGTAGCAGGAAGGAAGCAACATCTGCCATCAACCAATACAGCAATGTTCATTGGGCAAATACTGTGTGCCAGGCAGTAGGGTCCCTGCAAAACAGCAGTCATCATGGAATCCATGTGGTTTATCTGATTTGCATGTCACTTTGCTTGAGTGGCTTTTCTCATCTGGATCTGGGTTTTAAGGCCACAAGAATCAGAGTCATCTTCTTGTCAAGATAATAAAACTCATTTGAATTGTCTTGGTGTTACATGGTACACTTTTGAGAGCATTATCACAGAAGACCTAAGAACTGCTGATTATGGGGTTTAGAGGAAATAGAGACTTTCTAGTCCTGTAAGTGTACCGGTCTACCTGTCAGTGTTTAAGAGCCTCCCATGAGGCTCAAGGAAGATGGTGAGGAGGACTAGAGTGTGATCAGGCCTGTCCTGATTTAACTTTATGGCATGAAAAAGGCCCTTGTACAGAAACTCAGACTTTAAACATATTCCACATTTTCCTGAAGTCTGTGGTCTGACTTTAAGCCTGGGCCAGTGTAAAAAGTTTCCCTAGTTATTACTAAGGCCTGGCCACACCCACAATTGAACCAAGATAGGCAGGCTTACGTGTGCTTAAAAAAATGTAACCTTCCTCTAATCTTTTTTTAATATATTTTATTGCAGCTTTATACATAGTATGTGGGTCATCTGACAAGCTCACACATACCTGAAAATCAATTTCAGTTCATAATGCCAACTTTTTCACTCCCAGCTTTTCCCTCCCATCTAACTTCTCCACTCCCATTCTCCTTCATTTGTTCTACTTGACTTCCTTTAGTATATCTACTAATTAATTATAATCAGCATAATTAACCAGATTATTAATTGGTATAATTAATTATATTTGCTTGATTATTTGTAATATTTATTCTTCCCTCCACTTTCCTTAATGTTACTCTAGTTTTTGGCATAAGACAGAAAACATTCAACATATGGATTTCAGAGTTTGGCTTATAAGCATGATATTCTCCATTTCCATCCATTTACTGGCCATAATGTCATTCTTTTTATGGGTGAGTCAAATTTCACTGAATAAATATATACCATAATTTCTTAATCCATTCATCTACTGACAGGCACCTGGGTTGATCCCATAATTTGGCTATTGTGCATTGTGCTGCAAAAACCATTGAGGTGGTCGTATTGCTATAGTATGTCCATCTTTCCTTTGGGAAAATAGCAAGAAGTGAGATAGCTGGATCATATGGTGGTTCTATCCCTAGTTGCTTGAGGTCACCATACTGCTTTCCAGAGTGCTTGTACTGGTCTGCCATACCAACAACAATATACAAGTGTTCCTTTACTGCCCACAATATTGCCAACATTTATTATTGTTCATATTCTTGATCGTTGCCAATCTGACTAGAGTTAGATGAAATCATAGGTTAGTTTTGATTTGATTTCCCTGAGTCTACAAATGGTGAACCCTTTTTTAACATTTATTTTTTAGGTGTAGATGGACAGAACACAATGCTTTTATTTGTATGTGGTGCTGAGGATCGAACCCAGGTTCCGCCCGTGCTAGGCGAGCACTCTACCACTGAGCCACAGTCCCAGCCCAGAACATTTTTTCATATATATCTTGTCCATTTGTGTTAATTTCTTTCTTTTCTTTCTTTGTTTTTTTTTTTTTTTTTTTGAGAAACTTCTGTTTTGTTCTTTTGTTCATTTATTAATTGGCTATGTTGTGGGGGTGGGGGTGTTTTGTGTTAAGGCTTTGAGTTCTTTGTATATTCTAAATATTAATCCCCTATTGGAGGATTAGCAGGCCAGAATTTTCTCCTGTTCTGTGAGCAAACTATTCACACTCTTAATCATTTCCTATGCTGTACAGAAGCTTTTCAGTTTGATGGCATCCCGCTTATTGAAACTTGGTGTTTGTTTTTTGTTTGTTTGTTTGTTTTCTTATTCACTGGGGGTCTCATTAAGGAAGTTGGTACCAGCAACTACCTGCTGGAGTATTGAACCTATGTTTTCTTCCAGCAGTTGTACAGTTTCTGGTCTAATTCCTAGTCTTTGATCCATTTCAATCTGAGCTTTGTGCATGGTGTGAGAGAAAATCTAATTTCATTTTTCTACAGATAGCTATCCAGTTGCCCCAGCACCATTTGTTTTAACAGGCTGTCTTATCTCTAAGAGGTGCCTTTGTCAATATCAGACAGCTATGGATATGTGAATATCTCTCTGGGTCTTCTATTCTGTTCCATTTTTCTTCATGTCTATTTTGATGCTAATACCATGCTGGTTTTGTTACTACCGTTTTAGATGTAATTACAGATCAGGTATTGTGAGGTCTCATGCTTCACTTTTCTTGCTTAGTATTGCTTTGGCTATTCTGGGTCTCTGATTCTTCCAGTTAAATTTAAGAATTGTTTTTCTAATTCTGTGAAGAATGTCATTAATATTTTGATGAGAATTGAAATGCATCTGTATATTGCTTTTGGTATTTTGGCCATTTTGATAATATCGATTCTGTCTATTGAAGATGGCATGTTTTTTCATCTTTTAAGGTCACCTTCAATTCCTTTCTTTGGGGTTCTATAATTTGTGTGCCAAGCTCTTTCCCTACTTAGATAGATTAATTTTTTGAAGTTATTATGAATGGGATTATTTTCATGATTTCTTCCTCAACGGAATCACTGTTGGAGTATAGGAAAGCTAACGATTTATGGGTGTTGAACTTGTATCCTGCTACATTGCTAAATTCATTTCTATGCTCTAGAAATCTTCTTGTCAGTATATTGAGTCTTCTAGATATAGGATCATATTGTAGGCAAACAGAGATACTTCAACTTCTTTCTTTCTGAATTCTATCCTTTAATTTATTTTTCATGTCTGATCATCACGGCTAATGTTTCAAGTTTTATATTGAATAGGAGTGGTAGAGTAGATAAATTTGCCTTATTCCTAATTTCAAAGAAAATGCTTTTAGTTTTTCTCCATTCAACATGAGGATGATGTTGGCTTTGGGCTTCTTTCCAAATCCAAAATACCCTAAAACTGTAGCATAGTTTTCATTTGATTTCCCTGATTGTTACAGATGATGCACAGTTTTCATATATTTTTATATGGCCTTTATGATTTGAGGTAAGTTCCTTCTACTCCTAGTTTCTCCATCACTTTTAACATGAATGGATTTTATCAAAGGCCTTTTTGGCATCTATTCAGATGATCATGTCACTCTTGTCTTAATTCTGTTTAAGTGGTGAATTACATTTATTGATTTTCATATGTTGAACCAACCTTGCACCCTGCAATGAAACCCACTTCATCATAGTGTATTACCTTTTTTATGTACTTTTGAATATGGATTAAACTCAAGGGCACTGGACCACTGAGCCACATCCCCAGCCCTATTTTGTATTTTATTTAGAGATAGGGTCTCTTTGAGTTGTTTAGGGCCTTGCTAAGTGGCTGAGGCTGGCTTTGAACTTGCAATCCTCCTGCCTCAGCCTCCTGAGCCGCTGGGATTACAGGCGTGCACCACCGCTCCTGGCTGTATTTGACATTTTTGTAATGTTAAAGACCCTCCTTACAGCTCTCCTGATCTCATGATCACCTCTGCTCATGTCACACACATGGGATGGAACCGACTTCTTGACTGTCCACATCACTGTTCCCCTCCATGTGTCTTCTAATTGACTTGGTTTTTAATGGGGGTAGCAGTGAT